CCACATTTTTGAACTTTCATATGAATTTTATTTATTCTTTTAATGAGATAACACTGATTTATAACATTATATAAATTTCAGGTGTAGATCATTATATTTCGACTTCTGTATAGACTACCTCCTGTTCACCTCCAAAAGTCTAGTTGTCATCCAAAATAATATCTCATTATTAATGATAGTGCCCCATATTCAACCCAAGCTAAGTTTTTTACAAAAATTTTACAAGTGTGGTAAAATACATATAATATTTACCATCTTAACCATTTTTAATTGTATGGTTAAGTACTGTTGAGTACCTTCACTTTGTGTGGAACCAGGCTCCAGAACTCTTTCCAACTTCCCAAACTGAAACTCCATCCCCATTAAACAATACCTCAAGCCCTCCTTCCCCAACCGTTGGCAACAAACATTCTACTTTCTGTCTCTGTGAATTTGACTGCATGAGGTATCTCATATATGTGGAATCATAGAGTACATGTCTTTTCATGAATGGCTTATTTCACTTAGTATTGCCCTCAAGGTTCATCCACATTGTAGCATGTGTCCGAATTTCCTTCCTTTTTAAGGCTGAATAATATTGCATTGTAGGCATTTACCACATTTTGTTTATCCATTCATTCATCAGCGGACACATGGGTTGCTTCTACTTTTGGTGGTTGTGAATGAAGCTGCCATGAACAGGGGTGTACAAAAATCCTTTTGGTATTCTGCTTTGGATTCTTTTGGGTATAAACCTAGAAATAGAATTGTTGTATCATATGGTAATTCTAGTTCGAATTTTTTGAGGAAACACCAAACTGTTTTCTATAATGGGTGTACCATTGTACATTCCCACCAACAGTGGACAAGGATTCCAAATTCTTCATATCCTCACCAACACTTATATTTTGTTTTTTAATAATAGCCTTAAAAATGGACATGAAGTGGTGACTCAATGTGGTGTTTGTTCATTTGTTTTTATTAAAGGGTGAGATTTATTTTTCCTGTTTTATTGGGATATAACTGACATTCAACACTGTATTAGTTCAAGGTGTACAACGCAATGATTTAATATATGTATGTATTGTGAAATGATTGCCACAATAAGTTTAGTTAACATCCGTCTCCTCACAAAGTTACATATTATTTTCTTGTTATAAGAACTTTTATGATCTATTCTCTTAGCCATTTTCAAATGTACAATATTGTTAACTATAGTCACCATGGTGTACATTACACCCCCAGAATTTATTCATCTCACAACTAGAAGTTTTTACCTTTTAACCACCTTCACCCATTTTCCCTACTCCCAGGCCCCAACTCTGGCAACCACCAATCTCTTCTCTGTATCTCTGAATTCAATTTTTTAGATTCCACATATATATGAAATCATATAGTACTTGTCTTTCTTTGTCTGACTTATTTCACTTAGCATAATACCCTCAAGATCCATCCATGTTGTCACAAATGTCAGAATTTCCTTCCTTTTTATGGCTGACTGATATTCCATTATATATATACACCGCATATTCTTTATCCATTCATCCATAGGTGGGTACTGAACTTGTTTCTGTGTCTTGGCTATTGTAAATAATGCTGCTAGAAACATGGGGGTGCAGATAGCTTTTTGAGATAGTGGTTTCACTACTTCCTTTGGATATATGCCCAGGGATGGAATTGCTGGATCACAAGGTAGTTATATTTTTAATTTTTTGAGGAATCTCCATTCTGTTTTCAATAGTGCCTGTACAAATTTATATTCCCACCAGCCATGCACAAGGGTTCTATGTCTCTATATCCTCTCCAACACTTGTTATTTCTTGTCTTTTTAATAATTACCATTCTGACAGGTATGAGGTGGTATCTTGTGGTTATGATTTGCATTTCCCTGATTCTTAGTGATTTTGAGCATCTTTTCATGTACCTGTTGACCACCAGTACGTCTCTTTTAGAAAAATGTCTTTTCAGATCATTTGCCCACTTTTAACCAGATTGTTTGGAGTTTTTGCTATTGAGTTGTATAACTTCTTTATATATTTTGGATATTAACCACTTATCAGGTATATGATTTGCAAATATTTTCTCCCATTCTATAGGTCTCCTTTTCATTTTGTTGATGGTTTTCTTTGCCTTTCAAAAGCTTTTTAGTTTGATGTAGTCCCATCTGTTTATTTTTGCTTTTGTTGCTTTTGATACCAAATCCAAAAATTCATTGTCAAGACCAATGCCCAGGAGTTTGCACCCTATGTTTTCTTCAAAAATTTTATGGTTTCAGGTCTTACTTTCAAGTCTTTAATCAAATTTGACATGATTTTTCATAATCATATCCCTAACGATTAATGATGTTGAGCATGTTCCCGTGTGTTTGTTGACCATTTGTACAACATGTTTGGAGAAATGTTTATCCACATCCTTTGCCCATTTTTTTAATCAGGTAGTTTCATTATTGTTATTGTTGAGAGGCAGTCTCTCTCATTCTTTACATATTCAGGATGTTAACCCCTTTATCAGATAGATGGTTTATGAATATTTTAACTCATTGCATGCAGTCTTTTCACTCAAATGATTATGTCCTGTGATGAAAAGGACATTTTAGATTTTTATGTAGTCCAATTTACCTATTTTTACTTTTGTTGCCTGTGTTCTTGTGGCATGCCCAATAAATCATCAGGAAAATGCAATGACATAAACCTTTCCTCTATGATTTCTTCTAAGAGTTTTATAGTTTTAGCTCTTACATTTAGCTTCTTGATACATTTTCAGTTAATTTTTATGTATAGTTTAAGATAAGCATCCAAATTCATTCTTTTGCCATATCCAATTTTCTCATCACAATTTATTGGGGAAAAAAAACTGTACTATCTCTATTGAATGAACTTGGGACCCTTATTAAAAATCACTTTACCATATATATGAGAGTTTATTTCTAGGCTCTATATTCAGTTCCCTTGGTCAATCACCTGTCTTTAGGCCAGGACCACATTATTTTGAGTACTGGAGCTATATGGTAAGTTTTGAAATCAGGAAGTGTGAGTCCACCACTTTTATTTTTTCAGAATTGTTTTGACTATTTGAAGCTGCTTGTTTCCATATTAATTTTAGCGTAGGCTTTTCTATTTCTGAATAAAATGCCACTGGGATTTTGATGGACACTGCATTGAATCTGTAGGTCATTTTGTATAGTATGGACATCTTAACAACAGTAAGTCTTTGAAGCCATGAACCCAGGATATATTTTAGTTTGTTTATGTCTCTTTAATATCTTTCAGCAGTGTTTCATAGTTTGCAGTGTACAACTCTATCAGTTCCTTGGCTAAGTTAATTCTTAAGCATTTTATTCTTTTTTATTATCATTGTAAATGGAATGAAGTTAGGCCCTTACCTTACACAATTTGGATACAAAAGTTAACTGAAAATGTATCAAAAACCTGATGTAAGAGCTAAAACTATAGCACTCGTAGAAAAAAGCATAGGGGAAATTTCATGGCATTGGGTTTGCCAATTACTTCTTGGATATGACACAAAAAGCATGGAAAACAAATGTAAAAATAGATAAATAGGATTGCGTCAAAATTTAAAAAGCTTTCTTCATGAAAGGACACAATCAACAACATGAAAAGACAACCTGTTGGATAAGATAAAATATTTATAAACCATCTATCTGATAGGAGTTAATATCCAGAATATAGACAGAGTTATTAGAATAATAGTGTTATATCTCTTTTCAAGGGGAACCCACATAACACTGTATTAGTTACATTTGGCAGATGCTTCCATTACACAAATAACCATCCATAAAGTTGCCTTCTAAAACAATCTTATAGGCTTCCTGACAGGGCCATAGTTGTGTGTGTAGAGAGAGACGTAGCAGAGGAACAACCACCTGTCTCTAATTGGGATTGTGAGTTAGCTGTTAATGCGACACTCTTCTGCCTTCAAAAACAACCCGGGCACAGTTTCTATAAACATTAATTCTACTTGATATTGGAGTGTTACAGGATAAATCCAACCATAGGGCTAGGTTGGGAAGATGACACCCCACACAATGGGATACTCACCTTATTACAGAATCCTGAAAAGCTATTTCTCAAAGGCAAAATGCTTACTTGTCAAAGAGAGCACAACATTGCTCTCAACCCCTAAGTGTTATTCTTCTGAAGATGGTCCCAGGAATTCATGACATTTTTTAAGTAGTAGGGGAAGCAAGACATAGAAATTTGTCCCTCACTTTGGCATCCCTCAGACCACTGGAACCCAGGAAACTTCACTGAGATGTCAGGCCTCTGCATTTGCATGGGATTAATATCTGGCTATCTGAGACAAATGAGTCTTACCAAGCTATCCACTATATTATTCGTTTTTATAATCTCCTACCATCTCTGAATTAAATATCATTAATGTTTTCTGGGTTAGGAAAACAATCTACGTCCCTTTCGTTTATTAATCCATGCAACAAATAGTCATCGAGCATTTATTTCATGCCAGGCTCTTTTCTTTGCTCTGGTGAGATAATAGCAAACAAAGTAAAGTCCTTGCACTTCGGGAGTTTACATTCTGGTAAAACAGACAATAAATATAATATAATATATAACATACTATTGTGCAGCATCATGCAAAGTAGTATTACAAAGTAGAAGCAGAGGACAGGAAATGGAGAGTGGTGCTTTGGATAGGGTAGTCATGAACATGTTTAGACGTGGTACATTTAAAATGAGACCAAAAGGAAATGAGAGAATCTCTGGCACTTTCAAGACTTGATCTTGTACTTCTCAGTCTCCTGAACTGTGAGTAATAAATGTTTTTGTTTAAGCCTCCAAGTCTATGGTAGGTTCTGTTATATTAGCCCAATTGGACCAAGATAGTGTTCTACGGTGCTTAGATGCCTGAGACCAAGTTAGAATACTAGAATTGTGTGTTGACCACTTCGTTTTTGCAGTAGTCATCAGGGATCTGGACCCTTGATAACTCTTAGGAATTTATCCAGATAAAATTTAGGATATTATCCCATTCCACCTTCATATTCAGGGAAACCACAATTGCTGTCTTCGAGTGATATCTCTCCCTAACACTCTCCTTAGAGCCTTAGCTACATCCTTATTCTGGAGAGTATAAATCAAAGGATTCAGTGTGGGAGTAATGATGCTATAGAACACAGGTGCAACTTTGTCTTGCAATGGGGTGCGCTTGGACCTGGGCCTCATATAAGAGAAGATGCAGGCACCAAAAGAGAGGGAAACCACAGTGAGGTGAGAGCTACAAGTGGCAAAGGCATTTCTCTTACTCCCAGCTGAACGCATCTGAATGACACTGTGGAGGATGAAGGCATAGAATATAGAAACCACGAAGATGGGGAGGAGGATAAGTAGGACACTGCTGATGAACACTGTGGTCTCGTAAACAGTGATATCTTCACATACCAACTTCACAAGAGCTGGAAACTCACAGTAGAAGTGGCGGATATTTTGAGGACCACAGAAATGGAAGTGCATCAAGATCACTGTGTGAATTAGGGAATTTATGGATGCTCCCAACCATGATATGGCAGCCATCATCAGTCCCACCTTTCTGTTCATGAGAACAGTATAATGTAGTGGATGACAGATGGCAGCATAGCGGTCATAGGACATGAGAGCTAGGAGAAGACACTCAGCACCACCCAAAGACAAATAGAAGAAGTGCTGGGTGGCACAGCCCACAAAGGTGATGGACTTCTTGCCAGATAGGTAGTTGGTAGCCATCTTGGGGATGGTTGTGGAGACATGCATCAGATCCATGAGGGAGTGCTGGCTGAGCAGGAAGTACATGGGTGTATGAAGCTGGGGATCAGCACAGATGAGGAGAATGGTGAGGGTGTTACCACTCACTGCAATCAGGAAGACCACCATGATCAAGATGAAAAGAAAACGTTGGGCAAGGGAGTCATCAAAGAGCCCTTCAAGGATGAAGTCTGCCAGAGAGGTCTGATTCCTCTGCCACATCTTCCCATTCTCAGTCACACTGGGGAAACAGGAAGTGAAGATGAAGTGTGATATCAGAAAACTGGAGCTCAGCATACCTGACACTAAGACCTTTTGATCAACAAAAGAATTTTTGCAGAAATTTTTTTTCTATTTCTAATTATTCAATGCTCGAATAACTAAAATAATCTTTTTAAAACAGAGAGAATTTCAAATCTCTCTTCACAAACATGATCACTCTGAAATTCCAGAACACCTAGGCTCTCGTAAGTGCCAAGCTTCAAAACAAGAGTTTCTCCTCATTAAGCAAGCAATATATTTATAAAAGTATACATATGTGTGTGTATATATATATGTACACACAATATGTATATATATACACACAATAAATTTTATATACATTATATATGCATAAAATATACATATATACTTTCGTGCTTATTGTATCTGTCAGAGTTGAAGCAGAGAAGCTGAACCACTAAGAGATTTATATGCACATATACATATACATTTAATGGATTGTACAGGAATTTGGCCTTATTCAATTGTGAAAACTGGCTATACAATCTATTTAAGGCTGTCACCTTTGTGTCTCATGCTGGAACTTGAAGTTCATGGGGCACGCAGTCAGGAAGGGAGGATGTGTATAAAATGTGGTAAATCAAGGACAGGCTGGAACCCACAATCATGAGCTGCAATCTCACAAGGTGGACTGAAACCCATGTCAGTTCTTGTTGCCTCTGGAATTGGTGGTATGGTTATCGTGCAGAAGCTGAGGTCCTTCTTCATGAGGCTAAACACACACACTTGGCCCAGATGTCACAGAAGCTAAAGGAGGATCCTGGGGAAGGTAGAGTGATTGCAGTCCCAGCTGCTGCTTCACAACATTGACATAAGGTCAGCTGTTCAGAAAAACATCAGTAAAGCAGAAAACAGCTGCTTCCATTCTGCCTCTAAATCTCCCTGAGAATCTTTCCTGTGGCCCACCTTAACCAGAAACACACAGAAATGGGAAACTTGGGAAATGTAGTTCATCCTAGCCAAGTTGACCCATTAAACATCACCAGGATCCATCCCCTGTCAATTTGGCTCACATACATATCTCCTTAAGCCAAACTTAATCCCAAAATAAACACAACAAAATCATCCTTCTACCTAACATGATATAACTATCCTGCATAAAACCAAAACATACCAAATATTTGTATAAAAACATGGAAGAAATATCCATTACTATTGTCCACAGAATGAGCCACCCATTCCAAGTGCTAATCAATTCTATGGATGTCAGGTAGTGTTTCTCACTCACTCCTCTTCATGCCAAAGGACTCACAAACAAAGTGGCTATAGAAGCAAGGATGGAGGCTATACATGGGCTCAGCAACATGGACTTCCACTCACCAAGGCCAATCTATCTACAGCCACTGCTGCATCTGTCTCCCAACAGCTGACACCAATGCTGAGTCATTGATATGGCATCATTGCCCAGGGGAATAGTCAGCTACGTGGTGGTAGATTGATTACATTGCATAGCTTTCATCATGGAAAGGATAGTGCTTTTTTCTTACTGGAATAGACTCTTTCTCTGGATATGGATTTGCTTTCCTTGCCTACAGTGCTGCTGCCAAAACTACTACTGGTGGACTTACAGAATGCTTTCCTCACTATAATTATATTCCATGAAGCTTTGCTTCTAACTAAGGAACTCATTTCACAGCAAATGAAGTGTGGGAATGGGCCCATACTCATGGAATCCACTGGTCTTTCCGTATTCTCAATCATCCTGAGACAACTGGTTTGATATAACAGTGGAAAAGGTTTTTGAAGACTCAGTTACAGCAAAGCTAGTTGGCAACTCCTCATATTGCTGGGGCAGTGTCCTCCAGGATGTGGTAAATACTCTAAATTTGCGTCTAATTTATGGTGCTGGTTTTTCCATCATAAATCTTCATGGGACCAGGAATCAAGAGGTGGAGATGACAGTGATATCTCTCACTATAACGTTTATAACTATGATCCACCAACAAAATTTTTGCATCCCTTGTCTGCACTTTTAGGCTCTGCTGGTTTAGAAGTCTTACGTCCAAATGGAGGGATTCTTCCATCAGGTGACACAATAATGATTTCACTTACTGAGAGTTGAGACTGCCACCCTACCACTTTGAATTCCTCATATCACTGAATGAAAAAGTTAAGGAGTTTCTAAATAGTGGCTGGTGTGACTGATCCTGATTAACAAGGAAAAAATGAGTTGCTACTACACCATGGGGATAAAGGAGAGCATGTCTGCAATGCAGGAAACTTTCCAGGGTGCCTGTCTGTGCACAAATGTCTGTGATGAAAGTCAGTGGAAAATTACAACAACCCATTTCAGACAGGATTTCTAATGACCCAAATCTTTCAAGAGTGAAGGTTTGTTTCATCCCACTGAAGAAACATGACCAACTGCAGACAAAGGGAATGTGGAATTGATAGTAAAGGAAGACAGTTATAAACACCATCCATGCCCATGTGAACAGCTGCAGAAATAAAAACTGTAATAGTAATAGGCATTTCTTTCTTCTTTGATAAGAATATTTTGTACATATATATATTAACTAAATATTTGTGTGTTCTTCTCCTCCATCACCCCCTTTTCTATCATAAGCTATGTTAATTTAATTAGGTTCATATCTCAGTATTTAAGTTTTAGGCCATAAAAGGGGAAGTATGAATCAAGAGTAGGACTAGAATGAATTTTACTCAAAGACAAAAAAGTGATTTTGTATCCTCTTATTGGGAAGGGTTGGTGTCTTTTATATCCTCTTCTGTGGAAAAGCTGAACAGGTTTTTGAGCGTACATTGATAATTTTATCATGTTAGGTGTAAGGATAACTCAGTATTGTCATCATTTGAAGATTAAGTATATAGAAATGTGTATGGATGCCAAGTTGACACATAACAAAGATATTATATTTGTGTACCTAAAAATAAACAAGAAATATGTCCTGGTAGACATGAGAGACTTCAAATTATGAATCAGGCTGATAAAACTAGGATTATCACTTTTAATCAGCCAAATTTCCCAGTCAGTCCTTTACCTAATTCTCCTATGAATGCTGATAAGAATGAGAACCTGACTTCCATGGTGAAGTCCAACTTACAAAAGTAATCCAAACTTATCCTCAAAATACCCAGTGTATCCCTCTTTGTGTTTTTCCTCATAAACATCTCCCTAGATCTTCAGGAATTTGACAATATCTACCTACAATTTAAAGTGAAGAACTCAGAACTGAATGTATTCCTCAAAGTATAATTTGACCAGTGAGAAAGAGGTCACATGTATTATCTCTCGCTATATCAATGCAGCCTAGGATCATCATTTTAGCTGTCATCTCACTCTGTTATTTCAAACTCAGCTTCTTGTTGACTGAGGACCCAACTTTCCCATGTTCCCCCTTATCAGTCCAACTCCAACAAGATGTCCACACATTGCCTTTTTACTAAAATATTCATGTATCTCCCTATCTCTTTCCTCATTAGTTTTCATCTTTCTCTGTAAATCTCTGTAGCATATGTTTTCCATCATCTGATGCATGTCCTCTCTCTTCCTCCCCCAGGCAACTTTCCTAATAATTTCCCATTCTGATTTGTGGTTCACAGCTTACTTTTTCCCTCTGCCTTCTGAGGCAGTTTTCCTCATGGACTGACCAGTATCACCCTCTGCTTCAAGGGATGGGGACATAAGCTGATAATGCCAGAGAATGCCCTAGTTTCTAAAAAAGGTTTCCTGGATACCTCAAGCCCCAACATTACCTTACCTGGAATTTCCTCTGCAGAAATGTGTATAGAAGTGAAATGGAGATGGCAGGATACGTCCACATGGTCTCACACATTGGCTACTTAGCATCCAAACAAGTCTTTTCTGAGGTGCTCATCAGACTTCCTTCTCTAACCTGGAAATCTCCATTTACTAATAGAATGGCATAGAGGATATTGTCTTAAACAGTCATAACTGTTTACGCTAATTATCCTAGCGACAACAAGTCATCAGAAGCAACAGAACATGTAATTCTGTAATGCTCTTGCAATGTGTGCTCAGATTTTGAACTCCATCAGCACACATAAGGATAGACTAACTAACTGAATTTCTTTAACCTCTACTAGTTGGGCCTTGAATCATGATATGCTTCCTCTTCCTCTAAATTATATTTCAGGTGCATCTCTATCCCAAAATGACAATTTGAGTTTCAGCAATAAGAATTTCCATTAATGTTACCTGATTAAGAAGCTACATTTAATACCAGCTTCATCATCAATGAGTCCAGAGTCAAGAGAAAATATGTTTTCTATTTTCTGCTATCTGGGATCACTCAAGGCACTCTCTTCTTAGCTTCATGCCTCCTTTCCTACTTAATAAAATCAGAATTTGTCTTTAGCACTGGTCTTTTTAGAATAAGCCCCTTTCTGACTGCATGAATGTTTCCTAAGTAGAGATGAGACATGGCATGGACTGTGCCAAGCATGAGGGAGGAGGAGCACCATCTTTGAGAAGTGAAACAGCTCCTAACCCAGAGGACCTATAATGTTGGCTGAAGCAAATTGAAAACACTAAATATATGGCATCAGACATTCCAACCCAGAGGACACATCCTGAATCTCTTCTGAAAACCATTACTCAAGATGCCAATTACATTTCTTGTATGCATTGAGATAAACATTCCCAAAGGGCTTTCTTAGGGTTAGTTTGTAGGGGTCAGGAGAATGAGTTATTTCAATGAGCATGGCTCAGAAGACAACATGGGAATATCTTCTCTAATGGTCAAAGTGAAGAGAAACAGTTCCTACAGTCCCTGGCTTGTTTTTCATCTTGGAACCAAGTTCTCTCTAGCTCCTTTCTATCCAACCCTTTTGAGAAGTCGGTCTGAGAAAGATGTACTCTCTTTTACCCACAGGACCCTTCTGAGGGTTTCCCCATGCGCCACATCATAGAAGAGAAGTCAAAGAATGGAGGCAGGAAATTACCACTAGCATTTCTCACT